TATTCTACAGCTGCATCTCTTGTTTCATGGTCTTCAAGCTTTTCCCTTTCTGCATATTCTACAGCTGCGTCTCTTGCTTCATGGTCTTCAAGCTTTTCCCTTTCTGCATATTCTACAGCTGCGTCTCTTGCTCATGGTCTTCAGCTTTTCCCCTTTTGCATATTCTACAGCTGCGCCTCTTGCTTCATGGTCTTCAAGTTGTTCCTTTCTGCATATTCTACAGCTGCATCTCTTGCTTCATGGTCTTCAAGCTTTTTCCTTCTTCATATTCTCCATCTTTGTCTTTTTCTTCATGGTTTTCAAGTTGTTCCCTTTCTGCATATTCTACAGCTGCATCTCTTGCTTCATGGTCTTCAAGCTTTTCCCTTTCTGCATATTCTACAGCTGCATCTCTTGCTTCATGGTCTTCAAGCTTTTCCCCTTTTGCATATTCTACAGCTGCATCTCTTGCTTCATGGTCTTCAAGCTTTTCCCCTTCTGCATATTCTACACCTGCGTCTCTTGCTTCATGGTCTTCAAGTTGTTCCTTTTGCCCGCGGTCTTCATCCCTCTCGTCGTCTATTAGTTTTCGCTTCTCGGCATCTTGTTCATCAGGGTGGATCAATGGGATCATAAACTCAAAACTTTGTTGCGCTAAACATCCCAAGGGTCTCCGTTGTAGACCCCTGCTTGCGATTCCTGAATGTAGATGATGAAGGCCCAGCGCAGCTTCAATCTAAAGAGAAATTTTTTTACAAAATAAGCGACCCGCCAAGTCTTCCCACCTCTAGCGCAATTTTGCCTTCTTCTGGATTCATCAAGCGAACATCCGATTTCAAATAAGATTCGCTCTCATCCTTGAATGAACCTGGAACATGCTCCGGAGCAGCTGAAGAAGCTTCAGTTGACTTCCCTAAAAGTGATTCCTTATGAGAGAAGGACTCTTGTAGAGATTGTTGGCTCGATGAAGAAGAGGAATCATCGTCTTGAACTGTTTCATCCGACAAAACCCATCTAGTCACCTGAAGGATCAAGTCGCCGTCCCTCTATAATAGACGCTCCTACCATTTCATGAATGCTTTTAGACCGACTGGCCAGGCTTCTGGAGCCCAACAACAATTCGTTCCCCTGAAGGAGCAGCGCTTGACTGAATGGATCGATTGTGGATTCTGAACTGAATTTGGGATCTCCGGTTTGAAAATCGCACTTGGAGTCGCTGCCTGAATCTGACAAGAGAGCGTTGTCGAAATGTCTCTCCGACAAAGTCGTGGATCGACTCGAATGACGACTCGTCTGTTGGGGCGTTATTACAGATCCTGTTGAACTATCGAGCAGACCCGTTGGCAAAGACGGCCTTCGTCTGAACGAAGATGTCGAACAACGACTGACATGATCCGCTAATGAAGTGACGTTTAACGGATCGTTTTTCTCAGGAGCTTGAACACTTTCTTCCGAAATCGAGCTGGGAAACGAATTTCGATTTCCCCCCTCACTGGATGGATACCTTCGACGCTTAACGACAAACCCTAATAACCAAAAACGTATGAAATCTTTAAACGAATTGGATAACGCAACCAAATTGAAAAAAGAAACGATACTAACCTCGCGGTCTTCCACGTCGTGGAGGATACCGACCCACCAGCCTTTTTGGTCGAGCAAGGGACGGCTGTTGATCTCCGGTTGACAAAAGTTGGGACGATGCAGTCGTTAGGGATGCTGAAATTGCTGCGACCATCCCAGATGTCCAGGCCTGTGCTGCTGGAGCCGCAGTATCAACGATAGACCCCCTGATGGCATCAACCATTTCTCCATAACCTAAACTGAAAAAAGCACATTCCCGATCTTCGACCCATATATCTGAATTAACGTACTGCTTCAATGACTCGCCGATTAGACCATCATCGCGGTGAACGCGTCTGAAAATAAAAGAGATACAAGAGTGTCAAACGATGATTCGTACCGAGATTCCTCAGCAACTTTTGCCACTGCTTGATTAAGTTGACGGGCCTCAGATCGCAGGGATCTTCCTTCAATTTGAAGATCGCCCCATAAGGCAAGCATGTCTGAAAAGAACGGTAGTCACATCTCCGTGAAAGTCTCATAGCACTAAACGTACCATCGACCGACTGTTTCAGACGAGATGCTTTTTCAATCAAAACATCCCTTGAAAGGTTTTTTAACACTTCGAGGTCCATAGTTCTTCAAATAATGGTCAAAAACCTCTTAAAAAGCGGCATTCCCTTATAAGACGTCGTTGGGACACATTTATTCAATTCCGCTTGTGCAAACTAGCAATGTGGACCAGGTACCAGTAATGGACCAATGAGTTGCAGAAAAATAGAACATGTTGGTGGGGTTGGGTGATGCACACAATAATGTATTACCACTTTGACAACAAATTGAACACTTTAATTATTGAATCGTGCATAAATAACAATAATTTCTATCAAGCCTTCTCTGGGACTTTTTCTCCCTCTCCATTTTGAGCCCCGCTCTCTTCTTCACAAGATCAGCCTTAATGTTGTCCCATTCTATAAACAAACGATGAAGTAGTTGCTTGTCTTGAATGAGGTTACCTTCGTTGAAGTTCGCCTCAATCAAATCCTTTGTGTTCTGTATTGCAGCAGCGGGATCCAAACCTACGAGCAGAATAACATCATGAATTCACTACTGATCGTAATACAAATCGAATTCATCATCAATCGAATTCATCATCAATCGAATTTCTATCATCAATCGAAGTTCTATCATCGAATGACTTTCTACCAATTTTACCTTTTGGACAACACGCAGTGCAGTTCATGATTCCATGGCATCGATACAATTTCATTGTATCATTCAATTCTGCGAGACGCTCAGTTGTGTGTTCGTCTCTTGAGTCTGCAATCCATCGGTAGGCTTGAAGTAATACAGCAGGACCAAGATAGTACTCGGGATTCCACCAATACGAAGGACAAGATGTTGAGCAACAGGCGCAGAGAATGCACTGTTAAAGGATCAAACAATTACATGATCAAACAATTACAGGATCAAGCAATTACATGATCAAACAATTACACGATCAACCAATACATGATCAAGCAATTACATGATAAACAATTACATGATCAAACAATTACATGATCAATCACATGAATCAGATGAACGGAAGTTCACTATCAAGGAATTGGCGCTTCATTCTTACCTCATAGAGACCGTCAAGTTTTGCCCGATCTTCCTTGGATTGCAGAGTTTCTCTGTCTCCTGGCTTCGCTGGAGTTTTCCGTTTCAGCCAGGGTTCCACAGATTTGTATTGATTATAAAAATTTGACATATCCGGTACAAGATCCCTCACCACGTACATGTTTGGTAGTGGGCGTATCTCGACTGCCGCATCTAAGCGAAACAGGTCAATGAATATAAATATGTGAATAGAATTTGATGCACGTACCAGAAACCGAAGGAATAGGGGTCAAACAAGCAAGTCCGTTTTTTCCGTCCATATTCATCGCGCAGCTGCCACAGATGCCCTCACGACAGCTTCGACGGAAGGAAAGCGTAGAGTCTTGTTCGTCTTTAATTTTGAATAAGACGTCTAGAATCATGGGACCACATCGATTGACATCAATAGTATACTCTTGCATGTACGGGCTTGGGGTCTCGGATTCCGGACTGTACCTTTGAATAGTGAATGCTTGCATCTGGGGTGGTTTCTCTGGGCTAACATCTGCATCAGAGAAACAAATACAATAGAAACGGTTCATCATAAATTCCAACATACGTTTCGCCTTTGCGGGTGTTGCAGCAACTGTGAACTTCCTTACAACATTGTGCTTCGCAATATGAGCATGTGCCAAAACTCTTCGTAATGACAACGACATCGTGGACCAAGACAAATCTACAACTTAAGAACGGACAACTAGGGCTGTGGCTTTGGCCGCATGCTGGGAACCTGGTCCTGAAACCATTCAAAACGGATCTGAAGGGATGGCTCTCCGTGAGTTTGGCTTTCACTGCACCTTCCGCTGAATGTTCTATTTTAGGGGCGGCATTCGAAAATTCAAACGAAGTTGGGGTGTTTGCACAACTCACAAATCACTATTGTTTAACAGCAATTGGAGGGTCGGAGAATTTTCATTCAACGTTCCAGGCGGAGTTTGGCACTCATATCCCAGTTATCCATACCACAATTGGAGGAACGAGGCTCGTGGGAAGATGTACCGTGGGTGAGTCTGAATTTTTTTTGTGGAATTAAAAAAATGGACTTCTGACTGAGCAATTAATTGCCTGTTTCGTAGGAAATAGAAATGGTCTTTTGGTTCCGACAATTACGACAGATCAAGAGTTGCAACACCTTCGGAATTCACTTCCAGATTCAGTTCAAATTCAGAGAGTAGAAGAACGTCTTTCTGCACTTGGAAATTGCATTGCCTGCAATGATTACGTTGCCCTGGTTCATACAGATATCGATAAGGAGACAGAGGAAATTATTCAAGATGTGCTTGGTGTTGAAGTCTTCAGAGCAACTGTCGCTGGAAACGTGCTCGTTGGAAGCTACTGCGTGTTTACAAATCAAGGAGGATTGGTAAGTTTACCAGAATGCTCAAGCCTGAAATCTGACATTGATTGAATTCAGGTTCATTTAATGACGCCTCGCGATGAAATGGAAGAATTGAGTCATTTGATTCAAGTGCCATTGACTACTGGAACCGTCAATAGAGGCTCAGACGTCATTGGCGCTGGTAAATGACTTCTTTGCTTTCGCAATGGAAATTCTTTCCTTAGGATTGGTGGTTAATGACTGGGAGCAGTTGTGGAATGGATTCAACCGCTGCGGAGGTAATAATATATGTCTAGAATAAACAAATATTCAATACATACTATCAACGGTTCAGCTGATCAACGATATTCAATAAGGCTCCTTCTTCACAATATGTCAATGGCGTTTTTCTTGTGTTCCTCAGCTGCGTACCATCGAAAAAATATTCAAGCTAATTAACGAAGAGTCACAAGAAGGAGCCCCAGATCTTCAACTTCGATCTAGCATGATTGACACTCTTTCATAAACGTATCGCGTATTGATTTTTACTCCAGTCCTTTTTCCCAAACTCGCGCTGTCCCAAAACAATACAGACAGTTTTAGTCCCCTCTCCACCCTTCATCACACCATTCATTCTTCATTCTGTGTCTGCCACACTTGGATGTCGGAGGCAACGAAACACAGCCTCTTCTGCCGCCATCACGACTGTTCTTCATCGCGACAGATCGCGAAAGCGACAGCATCCAATAGTATTCGTGTGTCGAGCCCTCTCCTTGATTCCATTCGTGGTTTTTCAGGGGGTTGGGATCCTCATTCTTCCTATATTCCTAAACTCGGATGAGTAGCTACTTACACTCTCTTGTGGGAGGGCTGATTCTGAGTAAACCATAGGAAGGACATCTCGTCTAATCTATCTTATTGTGATGATATCAACCTTTTCAAATACCATCTTTCGGGGCTGATCGCTTCGTGATGTTTCAGAGGATTTCCTGATTATTTCATCAGCAGCGCTCAATTACGCCCTTTCCGATAGGCGGTGAAAGGCAAGCTTGCTTGTTAGTAGCCTGCCCTTGACCTTGGAAGGATGTTCGCGGTGCCATAAAATTCGCAACGTTCATTCTCCTTTTTGGATGTATTGATGTTGTTGTGGCGATTGATAGGAGCACGACGCTGTCTTTAATGTCGTGTCAACTCTTTTTCCACCCAAACGATTAATTCGTCTGCATGCAAGTGATCACAGAACTTGGGAACGATCTCCAAAAAAACTAGATCCTGCTTTATTTTAATTTTTTCATTAGATAATTTTTTTATTCGTTCAATCAGCAATGCGCTTCATTCAGGGGTCACCATCGAATTACGAAGCACTCGAGAGAGGGAGCAGCCAGATTTCAGATGCGAGCGCGAGCTCTCTTGCCGCAAACTTGCACTCCACACCGCCAAATATGAGATGCGGTCAACGAACAAGGAGTGGAGTAGATGATTTGAGTTTGTTCCCTGACTCGTACGATTCCGAATTTCAGGATCACCTTCATAATGGAAGCGGTGAAACGGTTTTCACGCTTCCAAGTCACGCAGTATCCCGTTACTACTTCAACTCAATTACACCGAAATTGGTGCCGCAACCCCGTCGTCAATTCAGGACGGAGTGTGAAGTCGGGCGAGAGCTGGACTCGCGTCTCGCTAATGTGACGCAACCACCGGCTGAAACGAGCATTCCGACGGAACAGAAGAGCAGCCCAAGCAACGAGCAAAGGACTCGAAGCAGGCACATAGAAGAATCCGCCCCGATAGCAAAAGAGAATGGCAAGCAATTTCAAGACTTAAGGTTTCATCGTCCTCGCGTTCTCCCTTCTTTGAGTAGATGGGATGCCAGGAACTCTGATGATAAATTGCTCCATCCTGTTTGCAATCCGTCGTGGATTCAATGGATGCAGAACAAACTTCCATGGTACAAGGCGACTGTTCAATCTAGTGGAGGTCCCTGGTTATCGTTGAGGTCGAAGGATGCTCCGTATTCTCAGTAAGTTGTGATTTGCACGAGTTGTTTGTACAGCGTCGTTCCCATTCTCCACTTTAGCTTTTGGGAGGGTACGGCGATACTTCTCCTTCACAGTTGACAGATTCGCTTCTCAGAATTCGCATTACGATGGCACTCGGTGGGGGATCGCTGGTGGCTTTGTTGTCGTGCTGGAGGAGTAGGAGCATTAATTCTCGTGCTCATTCTAATGAATGTAGCCACATTGGGCGATTTCTATGGCGATATTTCAGGACACGGTCAGTAAGCATGTCTGCTACGAATGATGTGTATATCTGTATACCAAAGATATATCTGTATACCGAAGATGTGTATGTATACCAAATGTGTACCAAATCTTTATACCAAGTGTTCATGCCAACTATCTATCTAACTAGAGATTTCGAATTTAGCATTTATCGCGAATAAATCTGTCTACTTTTCTAGACGTAATATGGGACTGGTTTCACCAAATTACGACACCATTAATGATTGGGTGCGGCGAGATGAAGCGGCGTTTTCAGCATTTATGCTTATTGCTGGTCCTTCTCATGATTTGACATTCCTATGGATTTTTTTCCAATGGGTACGAAATTGATGAGCACACTGAATTCTCGTGCTGTAACAACGATCAGGTCATTTTGGGGACTCCTTAAGGCTTCCACTCGCCTACGTAAGCGAAAAGCATTTGTACGTCTTCCATTGTAGATGCTCCACACTCAGGGAATCCTATACCTGTTGAGGTCCTTGCAACGAGCCTACTGCTTGCTTCCATTTCCCGAAGGGTACATCTGGAAAGCCCCACAATTTGGATCCATTGCTTGGCCTTCTCTCGTTGTCCCAGTAAGTCGCTCTCCCCGTCTCACACAATCAGATCTTCCTTCGCTCGAATCGTTCTCTTCTCTGTAGTACCAACCGTCTGATGATTTCTTCTACAGCGGCCACGTCGGCTTTGGGGTGCTCGCTGCTGCAGAGCATTTTTACATTGGCAACTTGTACGTGATCGATTTCTTAAAATGTCGAATGTTGAAATCGCGTCAGGTGGGGTTGCAGTTTTAGTGTTGCTGCAACTATCGTTCAAACATTCTGGATGTGCTGCACAAGAGGACATTATATGATTGATATGTTCACAGGTTGCGTCCAAATTCGCTCACTTATCCGTTGATTTTCAAGCAACAATTGGGTGATTTTCTCGCTTATTATCTTTATCAGGTGCAATCGTGCTTCGTGGCTCACATGGTGGCTCTCTCCCTTGCAAGGGCCGTTTGACCAATGGCTAGGATTTCTCCTCGACCTATTGCCCGCTGGCCTAAGAGTGTCATGCCGCCCGATCAGATCGAACTCAATCAGGCTTCGTTTATGAAAATTGATGCATCGCCTTTATCAATTCTAACCCAAGCTGGCAATAACCCGAATGAGGATCCTGTCTCGGATCAAGAAAGCCCAGTGGGCCTTCTCTCGACACTGCAATCTCGGAAGGAAACCATGACCCAGTTTGAAAGTATAGAGTCTCATAAAGTTCTCCATCTCTACTCATTTTTTCAGGTGTGTCTGATCATGGAGCTTGTTATGGTGGAGGTGAGGATGGAGCGGGTCTTATTGAGAGAGGGAGTACTATAGCTCAAGCCTCTCCTCATCTCTTTCCTGGATGCTTTCACGGAGCAGCAATCCAAGGGGAAGTAGTCTGTTGCCGATAGCACGCAGAGATCGACAATACCACGGCACTTATGAGAATCGGGAACTTCGGTTCATTATTTTCACTTTCATCTCTTGCAATCCGAAACCGAAATTATAACTAGCAATTCCCAGAAAGTTTTGTTAAAAAAACGGAACATTGAAAAAATTCAGTGTTGGCTACTGGTTTGCTTCGATTCCGTCGGGGTAATGATCTGTGGAATCCTTCCGTAGCATCGTCATCACCTGCTTCAGTTGTTTGCTAGCACCAAACTGACGGCGTTCAGGCAAAATCTGGAATGTCACTCGAGTCCTTGCTGATCCGACGGAATTTCTGCAGACTGCCAAAAATGTTTTGCGAGGCATGTGGAACTTTCTTGGTGCCTCATTGATTCGTCGTTGCGTTAATCGAGAATATTGGGAGTGTGAACCAGTGGTTTGTCGTTTCCCCAGATTCTGAAGTCGCTGATGAGGATGAAGTAGAAGGTTCGTGAGACGGAACCCCAGAAGTCCGCGGTGCAACAGAATTCGTTAACCCAACATTAGACCCTCGATAACTGGCGTGTTGTTGTTGCTGATTCAACAAATTTCCTACGAACATCTCGAGCCCGCCGAGTTGTGGACCCTGATTCGCTGCAATGACGCCTTCAATAATACCTGTAAACGAAATAGGTCAACAAAAATGGGATTGGTTTCGCCTCACCCGTTTTAACATCGAAGACCAACCCCGTCTTTTCAGGGATTCGGGGTGTTATTGACCACCGCAGTTTGTCTCTGTCAACGTGTCCCGTAACTGTAGGGACGAGTTTCACGGTCTCCCCAGCACAAAACGTCACGCAAGGCTTCGGTTCATCTGGCTCTGGTTTGAACTTCTTCGGGACGGAGTATCGAATCTGAAACATGAAGGATAGAGGATATCATGATCGAGATAGAGACTGGAGAGGATCCCACAATCGATCGAGTGTCCATACTTTTGTTATCTTTCCTTCCCAAGTATGTCGAGTGAGTCTCTCGGCTTCGTCTTGCTTGGTCATCGAGGCCTCATTCTCTTGTTGATCACGCAACCGCTTATCAAATCCATCTCCCAAAATTGCTTCCATCCTCTCTCGCATTCCTTCTTCAACTTTATGAGCGTCTTGTCGCGCTCCAGATTGGAGCGAAATCGCACCCACAAGCGCCAGGAGCGACTGCATGGCTGTGCTTGCATTTGATGACATCCCCTAAGAACACCAAATCACACCAATGGCAGGCTGAACGATCTCACCACAAACGAGGAAAATGCCAGACCGATAAACATGAAAAATACAACCAAACCGACAAGGGAAGTCGCAATCACAGTTAATTGGTGATGAGTTGAAACGCCAACTGCCTCGAATAGTAAATCTGGAATAAGTTTTCCAAACAATAATTCGAATCCGCCTAATAATTCCGGCAAGTCGAGCGATTTATCGTGATTGACATCCATATTGAACATTGCGCGAATACGAGAATCTGGCAGATTAAGCCTCATTTTATCGACAATTTCTTTGAGCATTGGGTAGGACATTCCTAGGAAGACAATGAGAATGCATGACAACCGGCTACATCAACAATCAGGTACACGACAATCAGCGTTTGGATTCAACGAGTCTGAATTCCTACCAGCGACGTTGAGATTCGTCAAAATTGCAGCAACATCTTCTGGTTTCACCAAACCGAAATGATTGACTTTTCGTTGAAATTTATCAAGTACGACATCAACCAGAGTTGAATTGACTTCAATCTGATTTTCATTAAAAGAATCGTATCGTGCTATAATTGGTGAGTTACCTGGAGCGATTGTTTGATCAAACTTTTCA